CCCCAAAACCCCAAAACCCCAAAACCCCTAGTAAAATTAATATGAATATTTTTGATTCTTAAGGAATAAACTTTTAATAAATCAATAATAACTCTAATGTCGTTGAATGAATTCGAAATAATAAAAAGACTCGGTAATTAGCTTACTATCTTCAAGTCATCACTTATATTAACCTTTCTTATTTAGGAGAGGGAGCTTATAGTAGTGTCTATCATGTTAAGAGATACTCTGATGGGGAGACTTATGCTTTAAAGAAGGTGAAAATGTAGAAACTATCAGATAAGGAAAAGGAAAATGCACTCAATGAGGTGAGAATTTTGGCATCAATTTAACATCCAAATATTATTGCTTATAAAGAGGCATTTATTGATGAACCGTCCTAGTCATTATGGTAAGAAAATCAAAATAAAGACAGATTGATAAAGTATTTATAGCATCGTAATGGAATACGCAGACAATGGAGACTTGTTTTAGCAAATTTGCGATCATCAAAAAAACAATACTTTATTTAAGGAGGACGACATCTGGAAAATATTCATTCAGCTAGTAAGAGGGCTGAAATGCCTTCATGAGATTTTTATATTTCATCGAGACTTGAAAAGTGCCAACGTGTTCTTGAATAAGGACGGATCTGCTAAATTAGGGGATATGAACGTTTCTAAAGTAGCCAAAAAGGGTTTGTTGTATACCCAAACTGGGACCCCATATTACGCAAGTCCAGAAGTATGGAAGGATCAGCCCTATGACTAAAAAAGTGATATATGGTCTCTTGGCTGTGTGCTTTATGAGTCAATATCTCTTAAACCTCCTTTTAGAGCAGAGGATATGCAGGGTCTATATAAAAAGGTTTTAAGGGGAATATATCCTAAAATCCCAAATGTATATTCTCAGGAATTATCTAGCTTAGTCAAATCACTTATTCAGGTTTCCCCATAATTGAGACCAACCTGTGATAAAATACTTGATATGCCAAGCATTAAGAAAAAAACTGAAAAACTCTTTCCAGAAGACTTTTTCTATGAGAGCTAGTCGAGTTTGTTGAACACCATTAGAGTTCCAAAGAATTTGTTATATCTTACTGATAGGCTGCCCAAACCCCAATACAGCAGCTCAAAAAAGAAATAAGATGAAGAAGAGAAGCAAAGACGAAGAACTTATGATCCAGGCCAGCAGATGCTCCCAGATATCAAAAACTAAAAATAGAAAAGTGGTCAACTTCCACCTCCTGGAGCACCTGGAATAAATCAAAAGAAAAAGAAACCAGCTAATTAATAAAATGCCTAAAATACCAATCAAAGACCATCCTTGAGTTAGCTAAAACTGAATGAAAATTCATCTCAAGATGGACAAGATGATCAATCTTCTGTTATGACAAGACCATCGCCAAACAAAGTAGATGATGAAAAAAGAAGTTAAGCTTCAAGGCAATCAAGAGGTCAATCTCAAGGAAAAGATTTAGGAGTTATCCCAATCAACATCACAGATCCTAGTAATTTACCTTCACAGATTCCAACTGGTAAATCTGGAGCAGCAAAGCAATCCAATGCAGGAGCAGGAAGACGTAAGAATAATTCTTAGTAAAAGCAAGTTCCAAATATTGAAAGTAAAGCGGATGAATATGATAATGAATAATTTGAAAATGATGACAAGAATCCTACAACTGCAGGCAACAAATCGTCTGTAAGCCCGACAAGGAATTCTCAAAAAGAGGAAGTAGATTCGACTTACAATGATTCACCTGGCTAATTAAATCATATCACACCGATCTCCAAAAAAAGTAAACTATCATCACCTTCTCAACTTATGATGTAAAATCGTCAAAACGTTTCTAGCAATGGCTCAGTCGAAAGAATATACATTAATAAACCTATATAATAATCTTCAGTCCCCTATAATAACATCAAGGAGTCAGCTAATCCGACCAGTATTTATTAAAACATGCTTAACCAGCAAGAGAACAATACTACTTCGAAGAAGAATTTGCATTACATAAACATCACAGGGGATTCTCGAGCAGTAGGACAGCTTGGCTTGAAAAAGGCTGAAAAAGATTTAATTATGCGCCGATATAAATACAATCATCAAATGAGTGACAATATACAGAGAGTAGCACTGATATATGGACAGCCTAATTAAAACAACAATGGCACCGCTTCAGTAGTGAATCCTAATACAAATAGTTCTCCCTATACCTACAGTCTAAACAGCTAGTATCAAAACAATCCTTATCTCAATTCATAGATGCAACAGAACAACAATAATCTCTCGGGCATTCTTAAGAGGAAATACATTTTAGATGAAAGTCAATCTAATTCATAAATAAGGTTACCGAGGATCCAGAGCTTAGGAAGGCATCAACAAGAACTACCTTAGAATCAACTCTCAAAGCTTCTACCTCCAATTTCAGGGAATGCGTAAAATGCAAACGGAATAATGCTTAGCAGAGTAAACTAGGGAATGCCACCAGCATATAATTAATACATCTTGAAGCCTTCAAAGATAAAGACTATAAATAAGCCAACTCTGTCATCTGGTGTATCAGGAGAGAAAATGCATTTAAATCAGATTCAATATAAAAATCATAGCAACGCATCTCAAAGCACTGCCCTGAGTAACGCTATAAACATTGAAAATTAGAAAAACAGCATCAATCTTAGCAGTAATATTGGTAAAGGCAGTATTGTGGGAAATAGCAACTATGGATCTAGTCCTCTTGGCGCAAACAGCTCAATAAATATAGAACTTGGGTCACAAGGATCGGAAATTAAGAAGATAATCAAAAAGAAAAAAAATCAGAATTTAAATAACAATAACTCTGGGATGGCAGCAATAAATCAATGAGCTTAGTTCTAAAGTAATAAGACTAATATATATTTTTCAAACTCAACCCCAAAATCTAATCGTCTCGATAATTTCTATGCTGCTGTATTTATTCTTTAATTATACGTATTAATATCTTCAATCAACATTAGCCCATGGGGTTTTGGGGTTTTGGGGTTTTGGGGTTTTGGGG